GGGTAAGCTTATAGGAGCTAGTGAGGGGTCTGGAAGGATGGGAAGTTGTGGTTGGGGAAGAGGATATTTGAAATCATGACTTGAGAGGTGAAGAAGTTCTGAGTAGTAAGCAACTCCAGGAGGTGGCCTTGGGAGGGGCCTTGTCGAACCTTGTCATCGGTGGGACCCTCTCTTTGATCCACCATTCACATGGTTTTTCTCTCTTCTTTCAGCCTCTGATGCCCCTCCCTTCCCAGCTACCCTTTTCCCATTTTCTGGTCCAGCAAGAGGAACTCACAGCATCTTTTCTTACTTCCGGAGAAATTTATTCCACATGTGTCTGATTCATTTGCGTTTACAGAAACTCGAAATCTCTAGTGTCCAGAACGCTTTCAACTATTTTTTTCTTCCCTTTCTTAGAAACAGGAAGTTGTGTTTGGCTGCGGACAAACCCTTTCAGTGCCCCTGGGACTTATAAGATGTTTGGAATGAGGAACGGTGAGGTCTGGGGAAGGCTTCTTTACTCTCTCCTTTCCTGGGGCCATTGGGCATCTGCCAGAGGTGGGCTGGACAGCTCATGGGGAAGGAAGAGTAGCCAGAGTGTTCCTGTCTCTTTTCACTGAGCCCAAGGCCTCAGGGAAAGTATGTTCTAAAAGACAGGTGGCTTTCTTTCATCCTGCTTCTCATTACAGTTCGAGTGCACTTGTACATTGGGTGTCATCTCTTTCCCTAGCACTGGAACAGCACTTAATCTATTTTGGGGGTGTGGGCTGACCGACATTCAATTTTAAGCAAGGCCTGCTACTTTCTAAGTGGAATGTCAGAGAAACTTTGCATCTGAAGAAGAATGAACCAGGGAAACATGGCAGAAGTTGTAAAGGGGCGGACCTATTTTAATAGGTCTGGCCAAGTCGTTCTGCAGCGTTGATCTACACAGGTGCCAGGGAGGGGCTGACGTGGGACAGGAAAAATGTGGAAGTCACAGCCTCCCTGCTCTGTTCACTCTGACTTCTACTTCTCCTAGGTGTGATATCTTACATTGTTTAGGATATTTTCATATGTAAGGTCAGTACAACAGCACTTGTCACTTTAATGATCACCTACATTGAGACAGCAGAAGCATCAGCTCAGACGGTGACTTCTTCCTCTTTCCTGTGCCATGTGTAGCTTTCCTGAAGTCACAAGCTCAGCCAGAGGCCCACAGGAGAACATACTGGACTAGAGGAGAGTGTTCCCCATAAGACTTACTGCCCTTCAGCCCTGGCCACTGAAGGGCTGAGGGCTGCCCATGCCTCTCCCTTCCTCTGCTTTCTTCCCCAGCATTTGTGGACGGTGTATGCTCAGGGCCCAGGGTGGCAGATTGTGGAGCCCATTGTGGAGCTAGCGGGGGGAATGCTGGGCAGGGATGGGCTTCTCTTCATCCAGGGAATTTCTTCCCGCTTTATGTATAGTTGAGTGGGCATGGGGGAGGTGGAGGACTCATCTCAGGGACAGTGACTTAACCCTAAAAAAAATGTCACTGTAACTGTTCTTATGGTGTTTACCCTGTCTCCTGTTTTGTTTTTGTTTTTTGTTTTAGTCATGTGTTCAGTAATTTAGCTTCAACTCACCAATGAGGCAAAAAACCATTCTAAATTCCCAAATAGCAAAGGGGTCACTGCTGGTTCCTGGAGGGACTTGGTGATCTGGGATACAGCCCATGAAGTAAAGATTGCTATGGAGCTCACAAGCCTCCCTTCCTGGACTTGGAGAGACCTGGGCATGGGGAGTCTGGGCTGCATGGCAAAGCCTGGCACATCACACGACAAAGCCTTGCAGACTCCATGATGTGGTGCTAATAAAGTTTCTCTTTTGATCTGCCCTGGACCCCAAGTGGAAAATATCAAGACAAAGCAAATGCCAATATACCCTTAAGAACTTTCTGATTGCTCTTTTCATTTATAGTTTTTTTTTTTTTTTAGGGAACGGGGAGGCATGGGTAGTTAGAAAAAAAAATGAAGAGTGTTCCAGGAGAAAGCAAGAAGAACTACATGTTTGGACACCAGGAAAGAGGAACTGTCTTTATTGAGGGACCAATTGGGGCCAGACACGGTGGCTCAGCCTGGAATCCCAGCACTTTGGGAAGCCGAGGCAAGAGGATTGCCTGAGCCCGGGGGTTCGAGACCAGCATGGGCAACTTGGCAAGACCTCTCTCTACAATAAATCACAAAAACTAGCCAGGCATGGTGGCATACGTCTGTAGTTCTAGCTACTACTTGGAAGGCTGAGGTGGAAGGATTGCCCGAGCCCAGCAGGTTGAGACTGTGGTGGCCATGAGTGTGCCACTGCACTCCAGCCTGGGTGACAGAGTGAGACTTCAATTAAAAAAAAAAAAAAAGTGCTGGGCTTGGTGGCTCAGCCTGTAATCCCGTGCCTTTGGGAGGCTGAGGTGAGTGGATAGCCTAGAGCCCGTGGGTTCGAGACCCACCTGGGCAGGCGAGACCTCATCTCTACAATAAACCAAAAAAAAATTTAGCTGGGCGTGGTAGCACACGCCTGTAGTTCCAGCTACTTGGAAGGCTGAGGCGGAAGGATCGCCGGAGCCCAGCAGGTCAAGGCTGCGGTGGCCGGGAGCGGCCACTTCACTCCAGTCTGGGCGACAGAGTGAGACTCCAACTCAAAAAAATAATAATAATAATAAAAAGTAAAGAAAAGAGGGACTAATTGGTTAAAAAGTCCAATTATAAAGGATATAGAACCTAGTGGACATCATTAGGGAATAAAATGTGGAACTAGTGAGAAAGAGGGTCCTACCATCCCTGAAAAATGTACCTGGGACAGAGTGGGTCAGGGAATAGTAAATATTGCATATTTTTGTAATAAATTCACAAAACCCTCTGGTCAGTTGTAGAGGAGTAAAGGGCAGAAAATAAACCTCAGAAAAAAAATGCATGTATCTTAAGGACAAAAGGCTGAAAGTTAACTTTGATGCCAGTGTACCACCTTTGAAATATTTCTGATAGGTGCTCAGAGGATTCAGATTAATGAAAAAGTTACCTGCCGAATCAGGGCCTTCCATTAGAAGGCACGGTACTAGTTTCAGTGAGGTGCATGAGCTGGAGAAGGCAAACTCTCAGCAGAGGAAATACAGTCTTTCCTTTTCTGGGATAAAACAGTGGTCGTGGTTGGCTGGGGCAGTAATGGTGTGGTCTTGCTCTGCAGATCTGTTTTCTGAGTCCCTGGACTGCAGCTGTTGAATTTCCAGACACAAACAAGTATGCATTCTGTGAGCCTGGCCGAGCCCACGCAGCCAGGGAGAGCTGGGCTGGATTCCATTCTGCTTTGCACATCAGTGGCTCTGCCGCCAGCTGAACTCCAGGGCAAAAGCTGTGCCTGGTAATGATGCAGGCAGTAAGGATGGCACAGCTGGCCTAGCCTGGGCCATTCATAGGGGACATACTTGGCCTTGATTATTTAGGGGAGAATGAGAAATGGAAGGAGACGACAAGTTGCAGAAACATGTACCAACCTCAAGAAAACTGGTGCACAGCAAGGAAACAATCTGGTTTTGCTAGTTGTCAACAACATGCCTGTGTGTGTGGTTGTTTATGCTTAGGTAAGTCTGGCCGCCCACTCACTAAAAAGAGTAGGCAGACAGGAAAAAGTGGTCAGCTCGATGTCAGCTGTCACTGTGTGGATACCAGTTAAGGGGGACATTAGGGGTTGAAGTCCTGCTGACTTCACCTTGTGCCCCAAGAATGAGTCCTCATTCAAACCAGGCTCCATATAGCATCCTCTCTGCCCATGGCATCATACATTTGAAGGGGTCTTGAGAGAAACCTGAAGGGGATGACACAGGGGTCAAAGGTGATGCAAAAAGAGAATATGCAAATTTAGCTATTTTTCTACTTTTGCTAAGTTAATTTATTTATTTAAATCATCTGTTGACCAGGATAGCGTGCAGTGGTGTGATCACGACTCACTGCAGCCTTGAGCTCCTAGGCTTAGGCGATCCTTCTGCCTTAGCTTCTCGAGTAGCTGGGACTACAGTCACATGTCACCATGCCCAGCTAATTTTTTAGTATTTCTTAGGGATGAGGTCTTGGTATGTTGCCCAGACTGGTCTCAAATTTTGGTTTCAAGGATTTTTCCCACCTTGGCCTCCCAAATTGCTGGGATTATAGGTGTGAGCCACCACACTCAGCCCGAAGGTAATTTCTTGATGTTGTCCATTTGCTTCTCACCTGTTTGTGACCAAGGACTCAGTTCTCGACCATATGGAAGGTTGAACCAGAGTTTCTCTGAGGCCCAGGAGAGATGAGAATCTGGAGCAGAACAGGGGCTTTTGGAAGCTCTCAGTAGATTTCAGGTATCCAGTGGGAATTCTAGGTAAAAGGGCTCATTGAGACAGCTGCAGGTTACTTGGGCCAACAGAGTTGTTAGATACAGATGAAATTTGGTGTGGGCGGGGTGGATCAGGTCACTGGGATGATGTTACTTTAGATACAGGTTTAGAATTCTGTGATTCTGTGAGAAACTTGTGTCCCAGCTAAAATACAATGAGACAGGCCTGCATTAAGAGCGATGTAGGGGGCGCTTCTAGAGTGGAATAGGCTATTCCTTCTCAAGAATAACAAGCCTAGAGGCACTGCATAACCACTGTGACCTCTGAGTTGGAAGTGTCCTCTAGCACAGGAATTTTCCAAGTGTGGTGTCCAGGGATTTTCCAAGCCCCCACATCACCGGGGAACTTGTTAGAAATGCAGATTCTCAGGCTACCCTCCGACCACTGACCAAAAACTCTGGGGGTAGGACCACACAGTCTGTGTTTTAACCAGCTCTCTGACACCCATTCAAGCTTAAGAAAACTGGCCTAGATCATGCAAACGAAAAGTCACTGGAATGAGCTAGACTCAGCAGACCTGTGAGACTCCAAGGCAGGCGAGAGGTTCAAGGTGAGCTGATTCAATCTAAGCCTCCGTCCTTGGGCTCTGGGCCCCTGCCCTTTCCAAAGAAATAATGAACCAGACCAGACCACTATGTTGGCATAAGATCACACTTTAGTTCAGAGACACATTTGCATAAATACTTGAAATAGGTCCACCCTGCAGGTGGCAGCCTGAGAACATGTGGCTCTCCACAAGCCTGCAACATGCAGCCCTTCAGGCGATGAATCTGAACACTGAAGACAGTCACGGTCATTTCTGAAGACAGCTCGGGGCGCAGCTATGGAGCTTGCTTTGACATTCACCATTGAGTTCCTGCCCCATACCTCTCTCATACTAATATTTTTCCCCTCTGAGGTAGATTATTTATCGGGGAACCAGATACAAAAGAAAATTTTTCTCCTTTAACCTTGCTAGTCCTTTGCAAACAGGCTGACTCTGAGTGTCCTGTTTAGGTCAATAGTGCACTTTTACCTTTTAGCCTATGCCCTCCACTTGAACCAGAGGAATGTCTAGTCCACTAGACAGTTGATGATGGGATCTCTTGTCCCATCTCCTCTCCTCCTCCCCCTTATGAATTCATGCAGTACCCGAGGGACTGTGGCAATGGGAGGACTGAGTATGCATGTCACCGTGATATGCAGGGTCACCACAGTGGGGACCCTTGTCTGCACCCCAGCACCCCACATCTAGGAGCACAAGACTGACCCCCACCCCACTGGATCACAGAGGGCATGGCTGGCTTCCACAGGGCTTGGCATCCTCAGGTTTCAGGGCCTTGTTGCAGGTGGCAGAGGTCTGGCCAGAGGGGTCCTTGCACTCAACAGTTCTTCGCTGCCAGCCAGCTCCGCAGGTGCTGGAGCACTCAGACCAGTCCCCCAGCACCCACTGTGAGAGGAGCAGCGGCTGGATGATGTTGGTGGTTGCTCTCTCTTTGCTGTTCTGTACACTGAAGTCCACGTCATTAGGAACAAAGAAGGTATATTTGACTTTTGCTTGGAAGGCCTCATCGGAGACCCTCAGGAGCTGCACAGTCAGAGGCTCCGGCAGGGGCCGGAAGCTCTGCAGTCGCTCCAGGGTAGCGATGGAGCCGCTGTACTTCAGGATGGTCCCCTTCACCAAGATGTCCTGCTCTATGGCAGAGATGGCCAGGTTGCCATTCAGCAGGTACTGCCCGTCGGCAGTCTTCAGTGCCAGATAGTTCCCATCATTCTGGACGCCTGGATGACTCCGCTGTTTCACGTCAATGTTAGTGGCACCAGCTGGGATGGTGACAATGTCATTGTAGCCACAACTATAATAGGAACAGAAAGATACCCTTAGACCATGGCTACCCAGTCCCAAAGTTCTAAATAACTGCCCCGAAGTTCTAAATAAATTAGCTGTTTAGGCAAACAGAAATATCTTTTTTTTTTTTTTTGAGTTGGAGTCTCACTCTGTCTTCCAGGCTGGAGTGCAGTGGCATGCTCATGACTACCACATCCTCTCCCTGTAGGGGTCAGGTGATCCTTCCACTCAGCCTTCCAAGTAGCTGGAACTACAGGCACCCGTCACCATGCCTGGCAAAGTTTTTGCTTTATTATAGAGAGGAAGTCTCACCAAGTTGTCCAGGATGGTCTCGAACACCTGGGCTCAGGCAATCCTCTCACTTCTGTCTCCCAAAGTGTTGGAATTTCAGGCATGGGCCACCATGCCTTGCTAGAAATGTCTTATATGTTGAGGTTTTTGAGGGTTTTTGCTTCATCTGGTAACTGTATTTCAAACGTTGGAGCTAAGGAGTTTAGATCTGTGGATCTTACCAGTAGCACAGAAAGGAGAGCCCAGAGAGGCTTGAAAAGATGCCTCAGTGCAGCTGATCCCGATCCTGGCACCTTTCAAATGAGAACTCAAATACTTCTAGTTCCTTTTACTGGTTCAAAACTTTGTTTGGCCACCTCCACACCCAGAAAAATCTGTTCTACACACCCATTCCAGAATCTGCACATGATGGAAATTTCACTCTACCTCTTTGAGTCAATCAACTCCTAGTATTTGGTTTGCATAGCCCCAGGGCAGGATCTGGGGTTGGGGTAGGAAGAAGTAAAACCTGCTTCTTTGGAGCCACCTTGTGGGTGTGCCAGACACCATGAACACTGTCTCCGGAGTGATAGGATGCAGTGCTGGGCTTTATGTGGGATGAAGAAAGCTGGTTTTTTGTTCTTTTGGGGGGACATGGGCTACTTAGGGGAGAAAGTTCAGAACAGTCTATTGGGTTTTTTACTATTCTTGCCGTATGCCCAGTTGGAGTTAGCTGCTTAGTCTAGGGCTATGAAAGTATTCACAGGTCTATCCGTCTCATGCCTAAGAGAAAGTGGCTAAGGAACCCAGTATCTAATAGCTCCTGTTTCTTTTCTCTAAATTCTTTGAGCTTAAATTTGAAGAGTCGCCGGGCTCGGTGGCTCGGCCTGTAATCCCACGCTTTGGGAGACTAAGGTGAGTGGATTGCCTGAGCCCGCAGGTTCGAGACCCACCTGGGCAACTTGGCGAGACCTCATCTCTACAATAAATCAAAAAATCAGCTGGGCATGGTGGTGCATGCCTGTAATTCCGGCTACTCAGAAGACTGAGGCAGAAGGATTGCCGGAGCCCAGCAAGTCGAGGCTGCAGTGGCTCACCAGTCTGGGCAACAGAGTGAGACTCCAACTCAAAAAAAAAAAAAAAAAAAAAAATTGAAGAGTCCTAAGTTGCCTGCTATAGGCTGGTTCTATTATCTGAGACTGGTGAGATGAGAGAGTTAGAGATAGAGATAGACACACACATACACAGATAGAGACAGACAGACAGACTGGGGGGGGCGGGGTGGCAAGCTTCACTGGGTAGAGTACTAGTAAGTGAACACTTTTCAAAAATGCTGAGGGACTGTGGGTGGGGGTAGTGAGAGGAGGGATGGATTCTCATGTGCCTCCAGTAGGACAGATACATGCACTAGACGTCAGAGTGGCAGAGTGTGGACAATATAAACACCTGACTTGCCCTTATTCTCCAGGAAATGCATGGAATGACAGGAAAAAAATCATCCAGAACTTAGGAAAACTGGATTCTCTTTCTGGCAGTCATTAGCTAATAATGTGACCTCAGGAGACTCACTTAATCTTTTTGTGTCTTAATTTATTCATCTGTAAAATAGAGAAAAATAGTATTGGCCTTGCCTACCTCATAGACTTATTTTACGAATCAAATGAGACCATGGAAGTGAAAGCTCTTTGGAAAATACTGTTTTATGAATGTGGGAATTAAGGTATGAGCAGTGTCTGGAGTTCTCAGATTCATGGAAGCTTTGAGGCTGCCGGGCCCTTGTTGTACCCCGGCTTCCCTGAAGATCCATCTGCAGAAAGGACAGTGCTCGCCAGGCTTAGGGTGAAGTGTCCTTCCCAAAACAGGCCTGGAGAGCTGTGTCTGGCAGAGGTTCAGGTTACTCAGCATGGCTCTCTTGCTGACTGACTCAGAGGCCAAACCTCCCTATCCATGCAGCCTCTGGCTCTCGTAAAAGTTAACGGCTGCCCTGTATTGTATCCTTTCTATGGACTTGACTCTGTGCCCAGCACTCCACACATCCCATCTCATGAAATCCTTATGATGACTCTGAGAGAGAGAAGAGAGAGAGAGATGATTGCTGACATTTAAGTAACTTGCTCAACCCACAGAGCTATTGTTAAGTAGCAGCCGTAATTCAAACTTGGACCTATGGGAGTTCAGAGCCCATTACCCTCTTCTACCCAGGCACACAACTCCCGGGAGATTCACCTTGAAAGGGTGAGGGAACCGGAGACCTTCCTGCATGAGTTGCCTTTGCCCCCACACACTCCACATTTGTCCAACTTCCTAGGCGAGTCCACCACATGGTCACAACCAGCCTTGACACACTGGCCACGGATGCAGATGGCCAGAGTCTCTGGCCCACACAGGGTACCGTCGATTACCTGCAGCAGGGAAAAGAAGGTAAGTGAGGGAGTGTCAAGCATAGGAGCAGCCTGCAGGTGGGGTGGGGACAGGTGACCTTCCTCCCCATCTCTGAGTCCCAGGGGGATTCTCACCTTGGCCTCGAACACTTTGAACTCACTCCTCCCTCGGGCCCGGCAGAACAACTTGCAGCGGTCCCGGGGGGACACCCCAGCATACTTGGGGACCCACTGCAGGAGATTCCCATCCATGTCAGTGTAATTGTAGGCATTGTACTTCTCACACTGCTGCTCCCTGAAGCTTTTCCCTAAAAGAGCAGGAAACAGTGCAGAGGTAACACATACTGAAGCAGGGAGGACTAGGTGGAAAAATGCCCGGATGCCTCTTGGTTTTGGACTCAACCCGAGGACACAGGTTTAGTGTCATCTGGGCCTGATATTCCTAGATATGTCCCAACGTACATGCATGTGTGACTCACTCAAAGGGGCAAGGAAAGGAGCCAATCAGCCTCATGCAGGTTTTCTGGGATATATATTCTTACAGATGAATAAATTTAGTTAGGAATAGGGAACAATTCAGTAAGCTTGCAAGGCACAGAATGACATGTGAAGCTACATTTTCAGGACTCTGCTGATTGGGCTCTGTTTTGACTTCCTCAGTGACACTGGACATGTGTCCAAAGACACCTCAATCTACATTTCTAGCTCTGATCTTGTCCCTGCACTCCACTTTCTGTAATTTATGGGTGTCTAAGGTGGAGCCCATTTGTGTATACTGTGATGCCCTCCAATGCAGCATGGCCAAGCTCCCCATGGTCCTTCCGTTAACTGTTTTGATTTTCATTTGGTGGTTCTACTCTGTTCAAGTTCAAGCTTGGTATTCTGGTCTCCTGAACATTTGAGCATCTGTATTCACTATTTCCAACCTGTCAGGAAGTCCTACACTATACCCAGGACCACTGTGATTTAAAATGCCGGCATCCCACTCTCACCATCACATACACAGGTCTTGTGGTTTCATGGGGGGCCTGGCACCCCGCCACCTACATATGCCTGCCTCCCCTCCTGCCCTGTTCATGCCACTTTCAGACCAATTCATCTGAAATAGGGTGTAGGGTTTCTCCCCCAATCCTGAAACTAAACCCTTTCTTGCCAATGCTCTCTACCCAAATTGTGCATCTCAATGGCTTGTGGAGACTTTCCTCACACAGATGCCACACTCCACACCTGAGATTCTGAGTCAGTACAGCTGAGAGGGTCTGGGCTGTGTTGGAAGAGCTTACAGGTGACCTGATAAGTAAGCTGGCACGGACAACCCCCAGATGCTGTTTCAACCTTCAAGGACTTTTGTGGTCTGGGCTTAACGTGCTGGCACATTCTGCTTGTCTCCACCTGATCAGTGAGGGCCCTTCTCACACCTTCCCTGATCTTGGCATATCCCCTCACACCTTACCACCATCTCCGTCCTCCCAGCCCTGCTCGGTCCTACCTCTCCTTGAAACTGCTCCTCACCCAGCTTTTCCTTTCTCTGAGCTCCCCGCCAACCTAGGATCTGTGCCTCATCAATTGAGACTTCATTACTGTGTGAGAAAGGATGTGGGTCTCTAAATGGACTGCAAACTCTTTGAGGACAGAGACTATATCTTTTACTTTTTTTTTTTTGAGTTGGAGTCTCACACTGTCGCCCAGACTGGAGTACAGTGGCCGCTCCCAGCCACCGCAGCCTTGACCTGCTGGGCTCCGGCGATCCTTCCACCTCAGCCTTCCAAGTAGCCGGAATTACAGGCATGCGCTACCATGCCCGGCTAATTTTTGATTTATTGTAGAGATGAGGTCTCGCCAAGTTGCCCAGGTGGGTCTCGAACCCGCGGGCTCAGGCAATCCACTCACCTCAGCCTCCCAAAGGCGTGGGATTACAGGCTGAGCCACCGAGCCTGGCTTATCTTGTACATTTTTAATGTCATTTTTTTTTTTTTTTTTTTTTAGTTGTAGTCTCACTCTGTTGTCCAGACTGGAGTGCAGTGGCCACTCCAGCCTCGACCACCGCAGCCTCGACCTGCTGGGCTCCGGCGATCCTTCCGCCTCAGCCTTCCAAGTAGCTGGAACTACAGGCATGCGCTACCACGCCCGGCTGATTTTTTGATTTATTGTAGAGATGAGGTCTTGCCAAGTTGCCCAGGCAGTCTCGAACCCGCAGGCTCAGGCAATTCACTCACCTCAGCCTCCCAAAGGCACGGGATCACAGGTTGAGCCACCGAGCCCGGCTTTTAATGTCATTTATAACATCTGTTTTAGTTCTAGACACACAAGTGGTATTAGAAAAATACTTGATTGTAATGGCTGATATTGGTGCATCAGAAATCATGACGCCACCTCTTGTCCATGCCTACCTTGTACCATACATTCATTCCCGCCCTCCCCCTTTCCCAGGAACTTGTCACCCTGTATGCCAGGCAAACACAATTCCACGGCAAAGTTTCTAGAGCCTCAAGCCATTGCAGATCCTTCTCATGTTGCAAAACTGCAAAGCCTACAGATTCCCCTATTAGACATCAGCCCCATGCCAGTGTGTCTTTGCACTTTGTTGAATCTCTCTTAAAGCTCTGCTTGTCGTTTTGTGCCTGCCAATATTTCCTGGAGCCACATAAAGGCTAGTTGGATGGGCTGGTGGGGAAAAAAACTTCTAATAATTCCCTCTGACAAGTTTGCTGCTGCCCCTTACCACCTCTAAGTTAATGTGTGTGCTTTCTAGCAGGTACTAGGGGATAGGAACATGCCAAGGGGAGGGAGAGGTAGTGTTACTTCCTGAGAAGGTTCTGTCAGGCAGTTGCCATGGCCCCAAGGGAAGATGGGCAACTCTTCTCAGAAGGAATGTGCACAGGAATCAGATTCAGAAATCCTCTCTCTGCCCTGGGCTGAATGTTGGCTGGAAAAACTGTGGAGGTTTGGCTCTGACACTTGCTTTGGAAAACGCTTCCATTCTGCACACAGATGAGGGTTCAGATGCCTCCAGAAGGATTATTATCCTAGATACTAGCCCCTCTGCAAAGGCCCCTTCTCTATAAGTGGTTGAAAGTGACATCCTCAGTCTCCACAACTTGGAAGAATAGGGCAATTTCTCCCCTTGATTCTGTCAGGCTCTCCCAACACAACGAGAGCTGTCCTGGGTCCCCAGGGGCTGCTCCCAAGCTTGGGGCCTTTCAGAGTCCACTTAAGTCTGGGCCACAGGCAAAACTCTGCATCCTGAGACCCACCCTACTCCTCTTCTGTCACAGCAAGGACAGCAGCTGCTCTGGCAGATGTGGCCCTAAGTGGTGATTACCGTCAGCAGGGCATTCCTCTGTGTGACATGACTGGTACTTGGCTCTCTGACCCAGGCAGTATCTTCCTCCATTCTGAGGCTCAGGGTCCTTGCACTCACGGTGTGAGAACTGCACTCCTCCTCCGCAGGTCCGAGAACATTCTCCCCAGGGTCCCCATGGGGCCCAGCCTCCATCTACCACGGCCTGCAACATATAACACCACACTGAATCAGGAGCAAAGGCGGGGAGGCCTCAGGTTTGTGTACAAGCAGGTGGCCACAGCCCTGGCATCCTCATCTAGTATTCTCATCTTAGTGCGTGGAGTTGTGTAAACTTCCTTCATCACTTGCTTCCTGATTGTGTGGGCTGTTTGGTTATAGGCTTTGTGAACACAGAGATGGTGCCAGACTTGCTCACTGCTGATTCCTCAGTGTCTAAAACAGTGCCTTGCCCTTCCTAAGGTGCTCAGTGGAATATCTGCTGAATAACCGAACCCCTTTTATGGGAATAAGGTTGCATCTAATGCAGTGGTTCTTCACTGGGGCTAAATCTGTCCTCCAGGGGACATTTGGCAATGTCTGGAGATATCCTGGTTGTCACAACTGGGGAGGGTATATGCTACTGGGAGCTAGTAGGTGGAGACCAGGGATGCCTCTAAGCACCCAGCAATGCACAGGTCCCACACTAAAGATTTATTCAGCTCCAAATGCCCCTAGTGCCAAGGTAGAGAAACACTAGTCTACAGGAATAATCACTGGGAACTGACATATGAGAACAAGCATTGCCCTGGGTAGGTTCATAGAGTATTCAAAATGAAAATAATTTTTAAAAGTATAAAAATGATACTTGCTCATATAAAAAATAAAAATGCAGGAAAAGTATAAAAGAGGAAGTATCACTTAAAAACACCACTACCGCCGGGCTCGGTGGCTCAGCCTGTAATTCCACGCTTTTGGAAGGCTGAGGTGAGTGGATTGCCTGAGCCCGCGGGTTCGAGACCCGCCTAGGCAGCGAGACCTCATCTCTACAATAAATCAAAAAATCAGCTGGGCATGGTAGCGCATGCCTGTAATTCCGGCTACTTGGAAGGCTGAGGCGGAAGGATCGCTGGAGCCCAGCAGGTCGAGGCTGCGGTGGCTGGGAGCGGCCACTGCACTCCAGTCTGGGCGACAGAGTGAGACTCCAACTCAAAAAAAAAAAAAAAACACCACTACCAAGATAAACCCGCTGACTTGGTTTTCACAATATCCTTTCATCCCTTTGCTCTGAAAATTATGGGGCTTTTACTTTCAAAGATACGATTTTGTTATATAGAGTATAATATGCCTTTTCTCTTTAAAAATAGAGGACAAACATCATCCCATGGTCATTTCATGCCAGCCTCTCCTTGCATTGAGCGTGGCTCTGCTTCTGGGGAGGGTAGAAAGCCCTTCTCCCTCTATAACAGGTGACAAGAATGAACAGGGAGAATGGGAGGTGGCTGAAGACGAACCCATGAATACTGCACCGGCTTAGACTTAGGACAGGAGTGAGTGGCTTACTTGGCCCAAGCAGGCTCCCGAGGCTCAGCATAAAAGACATGCACTGAGGACAGCCCCCTGGAGAGTGCCTGAGCCACCCTGGCGATCAGTGCTGGTCTGGGACCAGGCCGCGAAACTCAGCGGATGCTGTTTCATAGTGATGGCTCCGTGACTCACAGTCAGAGAAATATGATCAGCTTTGAATTTGCATGTATTAAGAGCAGGGCAAAGACGTGAATCATTTAAAAACCCTCACTAGCATGAGAGGGTTTTTCCTGCAAGTTTACTCTCTCCTGGGCCAAATATTCTCTCCTTAGTCAGAGGCAGCTCTGATTCCATCTTCCTTCTGCCTCTTTGATATGGAATTCCCATAATGACTCTCATTCCCCTGACCTCTAATTTTGAATTTGGCTAGAACATGGGTAGGCTACGAATACTTTTCATTCAATTTTCTTTTTTTTAAGAGATGAGTTTTCACTCTGTCACCCAGGCTGGAGTGCAGGGGGTGTAATCACAGCTCACTGCAGCCTTGAACTCCTGGGTTCATGTGATTCTCTTGCTTCAGCCTCCTGGACTCCTGGGACTCCAGGCATGTGCCACCATGCCCGGCTAATTTTCTTTTTCTTTTTCTTTTTGTAGAGACAGAGTCTTACTACGTTGCCCAGTCTGGTCTCGAACTCCTGGCGTCAAGTGACCCTCCTGCCTTGGCCTCCCAAAGTGTTGGGATTACAAGTGTGAGCCACCTCGCCCAACTCTCACTCAGTTCTTGATGAAATGCTCCTATTCCACATTGTTCCCTCTGTTTATAATGGAATTCATAATGGCTCCTGTCTCCTGAGTGCCTACCTTCTTGGCTTCACATCAATCTGTACCAGCCCTGAAGTCAGTCCCAAAGCAGTCCCAAGGGGGACTCTCCTAAGCCTAAAGAACTGGCAATGTCATTCCACTGACTGTGAGTACAGCCTCCAAAGATTCCTCCCTGTGTGGATAAATATGCTTTGGTTTGTTTGTTAAAAGATGAGTGATTTTAATTAGAAGTCCTAAGTTGCAGCCTGGTCCACAGTCTTTCAAGTGTGGTTTTTTCCCCTTGAGAACAACCCTCAGTGCCTCTTCCCCACTCCATCTCCTCTCCTTTTCCCCTTCTCCTCAATCCTGACAGGGACTGGAACATCCCTCACCTTGGGCCTCTCCACTTCCTCCTCAGGCAGACAGCTGCCTTCTAAGCAGAGGTGCCCTGGTCCACAGGGCGTGCCGTCAGCCCAGGGCAGGCTGTCATTCTTCGTGTGGCAGAGGGACTCGGCCCCCTCGGTGTGGCACCAGAGCTGGGTGCAGATGTCCTGTGCAGAGGTGTTGGGGCAGTGGCGGAAACCCAGCCCAAAGATCTGTTTACACTGTTGGTCCAGCTCATAGAGGGCCTTGCGGCCTGGAAGGTCTGTGGGGAGAGGCAGGGCCGCGGTGGGGGCGTCTAGGAGACAGTCTCCTGAGAAATGGAGGAAGCAGAGGCATCAGAACAAGGGCAGCTCTCCACAGAGCAAGAAAGTCTAGTCACTATGGCTTCCTTGACCTCCATCTAAAAACTGTCACCACTCAGTCTATGTAGAGATTATCTAATTTTTGACTATGAGCTGCAAAGGGCTTTTCAGGACTGACTCCTTTCCCGTCCAGAATGTCTAGGATGCACTGCCCCTGACAGCGTGTACCCAGTGAATGCCAGCTAACGTTAATAGTAATCCACATTACAATATCACTGGGATATAAATGTGCCCTTCAAAACCATGGCATGCAAATAAAGCCCAAGTACTGCTATTTGGATAATCTGTTATTTTTGCATCATATGTGCCCCAGCCTCCTTCAATGGGAAGATCTAGAAGACAGTGTTTCACTCCCTTACTCAACAATTCCAACCATTTTAACCAGGCCCTCCTCCCGCTTCTTGCTCTCATAGGATGTGTTTGTCACCTTTCTGCTATTTCGGAGCTACTGTAGGATACGCTCTCCTCTATACTACATTCTTCAATTCCTTCAAGCACTGTTCAAACCCACCTCCTTCAGACAAGCTTCTTAGACTAAGTTCACTTGCTCTGTGACTAACTGATCTAAGTTAGCCTAGAACTCGGGCTGCCAGAAGATGGGGCCAGGAAGAGCAGACACTGGGGATGGTTTGAATGCCCCAGCAAGGGAGACTGGGACAGGTCTCTGGAGTCTCTCCTCACCCTCATTGTCTGAGGGCTCTGTGAGAAAGCATAGTTTGAAGGAGCCCCTGCATCAGTAGCCGTTGAAGGAGGCCCGTGGGCAGCTAGACAGGGACAAGCAGAGAGACGCCGAGCGGTGCCTACCGTGCCCGCCATCCAGGAGCTCTGTGAGGTACATGGCACTGCAGGGGGACCAGGGCAGCGTCTTGTTTAGGTGGACGAAGAGTGGCGCCATCATGTGGTGCTTGCCCATGGGCCCGAAGAGCCGTGTGCAGGGCTTGGAGTCGTCATGGGGCATGCTGAGGACGTGCCCTAGTAGGAAGAGAGGCTATGGTCTACTCTGCCCTGTCCTGCCTGAGGACACACCAGCTGGCCCAGTTGTAGGGATGAGGGACCAGGCGCTGTGGACAGGGGAGGTGTCTATAGTGCTGACAAGTCACCAGCACCACAGGGGAATGACCACCCCTTTACTCTTGAAGTATTTTTGTTTTGGGCTCCTCTTAGGGCTTTTCTCCTCCAGGAAGTTTTCTGAGAGGACTGAGGAACACTGGTACCCCTTTACTTTCCACCTCAGCTTGTCCTAAATTCAGATTCACCTTTCTGTTTGCTCTCCTACGTGACACTCTCTACAATTCATCTTCCCTCAGACAGATCCTTACTGGTTGGCCTGTGTACCTGTGTATTGCATCACGACTCTACCTGAGCATTGGCTTCATGTCTTGGCATTCTCCAGGTGACCTTTGAAGATGGTCTTGGACACTGTTTTAGTATTTTGGCTTTATGCTCAGGGTGGGAGTGGAGTTAAGTACAATACTATCAAGCACAGTATCTATTTATATATAATTGCTCTGTCAAAATCATTGCTAAGGGTGAGGGTCACATATTCCTTAGGATCTGGACTGCCTTGGATCTGGAAGGGGCAAGTCTTTCTGATGTGGCGAAGTTGGCTCTGCAAATCTCACCTAGTTCATGGGCTAGAGTGTGGGCTGCCTGGAGCCCCTCATCCTCGATCACGGAGCAGCTCTTGTTGGGGTCGCAGATGGTGCCGATGTCCGCCACACCCAGGGTGTCACACAGCCCCTCCTGCCCACAGAAGTTCTGCTCAGTGGAGAGAGTGAGAGAGAGCACATCAGTATGTACGTGTGGGCAGGCAGAAGGCCATGGGGTCGGGGGGTGGGTGTCAGTGCACACGTGGCAGCGCCCCACTGAGCATCCTGTGAAACACTCGCCTGTTGGCCTGTGCACCACCTGCGTTTTTTTGAGCTTTTCTCAGGAGGGGAAGCAACAGGAAGGCTTGATGTGATTGGATATCTGACCTAGTGGTCTCGCTCTACTGGGTTTTTCCACGTTGATGGTTAAGCCAGTTCACCCATCTTCAGTCTTTCTAACTTGGAGAGTGACCCGTGAAATTTACTTTTGTTAAAAAACATCAACACAACAACAAAAACCACAGAAGCTTTCAAGATGGATTTCTAAGTGATACAGAACAGAAAATCTCCCTGTCTCTACACAGGTGACTCATGTAAGAGAGCCTGTTCCTCATCCTAGGCTGGCAGCATCCTAGGGCTGGCCAGACTTCAAAGGCTTGTTTTAGGAGGCAGAACATCACAGTGGTTCAGAGCATGGCCCTATAGCAGGACCGCCTGGGCTTGACTGTGCGCGATGCCAATGTGTGGCAAAGAGTAGTGTGGCCTCGCCTCGCTGCACCTCGGTCTCCTAACAGGTAGAAGAAGATAACACCAGTACTTGCCTTGTGGGCCCGTCGTGACACTGACAGAGTGGACAGGACCTGTCACACATCATCACACTCTTTTGCCTTCAGGAAGCTGTCCATTTAAATCACGTCAGATAGGTGGGCAGCTCTCCTGCTGTGGGGAAATCTCGAGGGGATCCCTGACTACCTGCCTGTTGGGAGCCGACCTTGGAGGTCCACCTGATTGACACAGCCACTAAAGATTGGACTTTCTGAATTCCAGCCCCAGATCTCTCCCTGGCAGTCTGAGCCCATTTCTTCTTGTTATGTATGACCTCAGCAGACAGCTGGTCACAAACTTTTGGAAAAGAGCCCTTACAGATTCTTCTCCTTCCCTTGCAAATACCTCACACTTGTCCTCATGACCTCCTCATCATTCCGCGCATGAGACTTCTGGTGTCCAGCTGGGGCCAGCAGGGAGACATTTCCCATGTTTGGGCAGGCCTAGTGGCCCTCCCTTTGATCCGCCCATCCCGTCTCCCTTCCTCCCCAGGGCTTCTGGAGCCGGGTGCAGACCTGTCTGGTGAGCAGGATGGCCGTGTCGTAGTGCTCTGGGTGGCGGTCGCTGGGCTGGTTGAAGCGCCGCTGCCAGTTGCAGAAGTTGCGCAGTGTAAGTCCTCCATTGTCAGACACCTCGGGGCCCCACTTTTCCTCTTCTACTATCAGCACTTTTACTACCATCAGGTTGATGGCGTTCTTGATGCTGGGGTGCTTATAGATCCGGGCTGCCACAGACATCAGTGTCAGGATGTGGTTCTGTCAGGACGGAGGAAGGCAAAGGGTTAAATCTTCCACCTTGGCCTGCCCACTGCCCCCTCCTCTTGTTAGGGGGCATTTACTGTGTGCCGGGCTCTGGGGTAAGCATCTGACATACAGCATCTTGCCAAAGACTCCCAAAACCCTTGAGGCCCGTGCCTTATTTCCCTTCATTTTACATCTAAGCAAACCAAGGCTCAGTAACTGGTCCAAGATCAAAAAGCTAATGTATGTGCAGCTGCATTTGAACCTAGACCTGCCTGGCTTCAAAGTTTGTGCATTTAACATCCAGACCAGCTTCACGTGATTATCTAAATGCAAAATAATTAAAATTCAATAAAATTAAAATTATGATGTGGCACAAGCTACATTTCAAGTGTGTGAGTAGCCATATATGGCTCATGGCTACTGTATTGGAGGGTGCAGAGAGAAAGTTCTGTTGGACTGCACAGCTTAATCTTGACACCAACTGTCTCCCTGCCAACCACCCCCACCTTTGCCTGGCCTCAGCCCAGAAGCAATTATTTGAGTGTTCAAGGTTAGTAGAATTTCCCTCTAAGAATCCAGCCGAGCATTTTCCTGATACCTGTTGGGGTGACTTCTACTCTGCAGGGTGGGAATTGTTCATCCTAAAAACTTTGCTCTAATAATCACTCCTAACAACAGCTAGCTACTCTGTGATAGTCACAGTCCACACTTGACACACATCAGCTCATTCTATTCTCATAATAACTCTGTGAAGTAGGTATTGAAATCCCCTTTTCACAAATGAGGAAGTCGAAGGTCACACAGCTAAGAAAGCCAGGATGCCAGCCCAGGTGTGTCTGTCTCTCAAGTAGACACTCTTCTTATTAAGATTCCTGGGGCTTGGCTTCTGGTTTCTGTCTAGATAGCTCCGAAGTTTCATTGCCTTCTGCCTGGGGTGTGAGTGGATCCACTGGGCCTAATGAGGCCCACATTAGGATCCTTGCCCACCCTGGCCAGCTGAAAGAGCCGACATCACTGCTTTGGCCTCTATCCTGTCCTTGGGCTGCCAATGGCTCCCCTGCTGGATTCCGAGGTTTTGAGAGGATGCCAGAAGGGAACTCGTTCTCCTGCCTCAGGGACCTCTTGAAGTGGCACTCTTGGATTATTCTGCAGGAGAGAAAAAGGGTAGAGGCAGGCATACTTTGAGCCCATAGTGTGGCCAGCTGAGCTGCCACTTGCTTGGGCTGTGTCTCTGATCCCTAGAGCACCACCTCTTGGGAGCCTGTCTTTGTCTTCTCCTGTGGTCTGGAAGGTGGGAGTGGAAGGAAGGGAGTGGAAAGGCGAGAGAGGGGCATTCCATCGGGTGAGGCCATGTGTGGGAGTTCCAGATGAATCCTTTCATTTGTGAATGGGATCTGTCTGTTCACCTCACAGGCAACGAGCCAGCTATTTTGCTAGCCCTACAAACAGGGGTTGGCAGGTTACTTAGCGTGTCAAGCACTCCAGCTATGTTTAGGCTGATGTAAACATCTTATCAGCAAAGCTGAAACTTGGCACTTGCTCCTGAGGTTGGATTCCGGAGGGACAAAAGCAATCACATTATTATGCAACTGGGGGTGAGTGCTGAGGAATGGTAGCTTGCGGAGGCTAATTCCTGGCCAGGCCATTGCTGCTTCCAGGAAGCAGAAAGTCTCCTAGTCTCTCTAGGAAGGACCAGGGTCTGATCAGTCAGGCACCAACCCCTGGAATTTCTTCCCAGGTGACCTGCAACTGTCCTCACAAGATTTCTTCCCATTTATTCTTGATTTTATGTGCTGAAAACTGGGGAAGATGAGGTCTTACAAAGAAGGTGTGAAGCCAAGGTGTACTAGCTGGGTCCAAGGCAGCACAAGGAGCTGAAGACTTGAAATTTGGGCCTGGTCTGTGTGCCCAAGCTGAGCAAATCAGACTGAGGCTCAATGAGAGACAATGCAGTGGCCGCGTCTCCAGTGAAGACCACAGGAAAGTGAGAGTAAACCGCTGAATGAAGATTGGGGTGAGACCGCACAGGAACTTTCCAGCACTAGGTTTCCAGGGAGTCTCCTCCTTCGTAGCTCTGGGAGCTCCTGTTACCATCTTCTCTAGATGCTGCATAGCTGTCAGGTGGTGCTAGCTTGAGAACCCCTTTGCTTCAAGGTGGTGGGCTGGACTTTAGGGTATCTGAAGTTCCTTCTGATGCTATGCTCAGAAGATAATTTTCATTTCAAGAAGATTCCATCATCCAGTGTTCCTTTCAAAATCTCAAATTCTGGTCCCACTGAGCTTTTGAAGACACAAGGCTGCCATTTCCACCATCTTCCCCTCGCAGTTAGCTCTTCCGAGCAACCATGTCAGGAATGCCTTACATTTGCAGCACACCTCACCGTTCCCCAGGGGAAGGATCACTGAGCCTGGGTATGGCAGGTGACCTCAGGTATGTGAGTCTCTGATTCTTTACCAATCTCCTGGGCCCAAAGGGCAGGTCTAGTTTACAACCCCACAGGGAGCAGTTCCAGAGCCAGTCAAGGAAAAAGCCAGATGGCTTGCTCCACCGCCTGATGTCTATTTATACCACCCTGCTCACCATGCAAGTGCAGACCATTGAAAAGAATGTGAATGCAATCCTACTCCTGCAGAATGGAGGCCCAGTGTGACAGGCAACCTCTAAAACCATGTCAGGGAGGTGGGAGTCTATGATCAGTCTGGCTAGGGGTGGCCAAACAATTCTGCTCTTGAATGAGCTGGAGATTCCACACTCTTAACTCTTGTTAGAGAAAGGCAGCATTTTTAGTGAGCCTTCATCCCAGGACCTGGAATAGAGGACACCTGGCCAGCTAGCTGGGACATGGTTCTCTGATTCTTTGAGATACAAACAGATTCAACCCTCAGAGCTCCCAGGGCAGCCAACTTTGGTGGGAGTCTAGGGAAGGCTAGACCAGGCCAAGTGCATTTCCAGTGGCTCCTTCTCCTGTCCAGAAGGTCATCTGTTCTACTTTGCTCACTTGCTCTTCACCCTGCAGGTCCTCCTGCTTTCCTTGCAGCATGTGGGGGGCAGGCCAGCAGAAGGGTGGCCACAGGGAAACTCCCCAACCTCTGCACCTGGCACATTCCTCTTTCTTCTTGGCATCTCTCTAGGGCCTGAGACTTGAGCTGATGAGGAGAGGAAGGGAGAAGTAGAGGAAGAGGAAAGACGCGAGAGAAGAAAAAAAGAGACCTGAATGGATATCGTTCCTCTTTCTGTGTTCTCCAAACAGCAAAGGGTGATGCCACCGCTTCAAAGCACACACTTATGCAGAGCTACAAGTCAACCTTAAATACTCTGCGCCAGGGCAAGCTGAAAAAGAAGTCCTCTCTGCCAGCAAAGCTGAACCAGCAGTGGCCAGCACTCCGATGGCAGGTGGCCATCCTATCCTCCCCACTCTGACAAATGGTTTCCATCATCAAAGGCAACTGTCATAATAGCTATGCCTTGCTGAGCACCTACTATGTACCAGGCAAAAGGTCAGGCACTTTCCATATCTTCAAGATAGTGCTAGAACTTTGGTATAACTGCTTCTACCTGAAGGAATTGAGGTACAATTGAGAAATAGGTAACTTGCTCGAGGACAGTTATTTTTATTTCGCTCTGAGTCTCCACACTGAGTACCACCCATCTTTGCTGCTGTAAGAGAAACTACAGACTTGCCAAAGCAAACCCAGAACAAGCCAGCAAGCCAGCAAGCCGGCCTGTCATTGTCTGTGCATACCCCACCTCTGGAGAAAGGGAAGGTGGTGACCTTTGGTTCCTGAGACATTTTCTTTGGGAAATACTCCATATCTTTGACCATTCTGACGCTCAGACACAGAGATGGAGGAGACTCATTCTTTTGCCAGTGGGAAGAACATAATTCATACACATATAACACTTGTCTTCTTCCCATAAAGATGGGGGTAACTACAGAGCTGGCAGATATGCATCTGTTATTCAAACTAGGACTCTCTTGAGAGTGAAAGATGGTACTATTAAGGATGCCAGAAGAGGCACAAGCAGGGAGGGTGTGGGCAAGCTACACTATACAGTCACTGGAGCATTTAGTATCTTGTGGGAGACCTCCCCAGAGGACATAGGCAAGGGGGAGTTGAGATGGTTAAAATCAACCCCTAAAATCAGATCTCCTGGGAATGCTCTGGTCTGCCTTGGGAATGATGAACAGCATTCCTAGGACCCTCTCTGCTAAGAAGATAATTCAGAAACTCTGCTTGCTGCTGAAATGCTTGCAGGGCAGACTCCCCAGACCAAGGGTGGGCAGTCGTCAGGCTGCCACTTACTCTGTCCTGCTCCAGGTTCATCCGAGGGACAATTAGTGGCTGGATGTAGACAGAGTTAATGCACTTTTCCCAGGTGGTCCCTCCTTTCAAAAAGCCCCCTGTGTCTGAGCTCCTTAACTCTGAAACCAGATAAGAAGGTGCGAGGCAGAGGCCCCTTTTGTCAAGGGATTAAGTGAACTCAATTGTACAGTTCTGGAAAACTTCATTGTTGCTGAGCAGTGAGACCAGCCTCGGCAACGGCTAATTCTTGCTTTCAACATTGAAGGTGATTTCTTCTCAGGATAGGGCCTCACAGTTGGGCTGGAAATCTTTGGACTGCTGGATTTAAGGACCCACCCCCACAACATAGACAAGTGTCAGAAGGTAAACAGAGTCACAGACCCTTGTCCTGAGGAAGAGACAGCACTGTCACTTACTAGTTGTGCAACCTTGAGGAAGTCACACGTCCTTTGTGAGCTGCCCTTTCTTTCTCTGCCCCATCACAGGTGTCTCTACTAAGATGGCGACGACAAAAGCACTCTGTAAATTGAACATGCTCAGAGAGTGGCTGAACCTTCCAGAAGACTGGCTCATCAAGAAGCAACCCCACAGATGCTTAGACTAGACTTGATTACCATTCGGGTATCTTCCTTCACTGATGGGGAAATTAAGCCCTGGAGAGGGTGAAGCCTCTTTTCATCTTTATCACACATCCCCAATTATTAAGATACCCCAACGTGCTTCCATCTGTGTGATGAGATCTCCAGGACCTCATTCAAGACTGGCTTCTATTTGGGGGAAGTGGGTCTGGGCAGGCAAGGGCTTGGGGGACCAGGACTAGATTTTCACTCTTTTCTCTGCTGAGCTCATGGACCTGTCTTAGGAAGCCCAGGTAGTTGAACTAAGTTCAAGCCTGTCCTTCAGCATTTCTACGGCTGGTCAGCTCATCAGAGCAGACAGGCCAGTGGGAGGTCACAGAAACAGCTGTGCTCAGCCTTTCTCCCACCCCAGCATGGTGGCAGCAGGTGGGCCTGGACACAATGAGCCAAGGTGGGAGTGACAGGGCTGATCCAGAGAGGGAAGAGTTTTCTTTAAGGTGTTCGACCTAGAAGTGGACCCCCTGCCTGCTCTGCTATGCTCTCCTGATCCAAGTTGGCTGGCTGGGTGTGGAGGTACCTGTGTGGCTGTGAATGACTCAGAGATGTGTGTATGTGGAGGGGGAGGGTGTGGAGTAAGCATGAGGCAAGTCATCTGTCCAGTCAAGGAGTCTCATGAGAGTGGAAATGCCCTGGTCTGCAACAGCAGACCCGGATCTTAAGCGGAAAAAAGCAAAACTTGGTGCAAAACCCAGTCCAGCCTCCTGCTTCAGAATGGCACCAAAGCATGTCTGCCTCTGAATGGGTGATGTTTGAGAGCCAAGTATGTCCTTGAGGCAAATACTCAATATCTCCAGTCTCCAGGTGGTGAGCTGCGAGCACAACAAAAGGAAGGTACTAGGGAGGACATTTTGGCTCTGAAGGATGAAAAACTGACTTTTTTTTTCAACCCTGTGCTCCTGTTGGCTTTCCTATGCTTTGGTTCTCAGGCTGATGTCAGAAATTGGTCAACTTGAGGGAGAGGGGGCGCAGCATCCCCTCTCTGGATTCCCAATGAATGTATCTCAGCTTCTTTCTGGTGCAGCCCCCTAGGAGCCAGGTGTGAGGGTCCTGATGAGATGGGAGAAATCCCCTCTTCAGCCCTCTCCTGCCACCCCCTCTCAAATACTTGCTTGAAGGAGTCAGATGAGAGGGCTGGTGCTCTGCCCACTCTCAGGATAGACAGCGAGACCGATATTAAATCACCAATGACCAAAAGCTCATGGGGTGGACTGCCTTGCTGACTCGGAACTTCTTTGCTGTGCTCTGGGAGAAGTGAATACCATGAGAGCAGGCACGCAGGGGAGCCTGCCCCGGTGTAACCCACCCCTGCAGTAGCCAGAGGAGTAGCCATGTGGGCCTCTCACCCACAGTGTTTCCATCCTATCCGTTTCTCACTGGATGTTTCCCACCCCTGCCTTTCCCAGTGATAGTAGGGTGGGAAGAATCAGGTGAGAAATAGGCGGCCAACTGCCTTGTCTGGAATCTTCTGCCCAGGTGATGCCAATGTCCTTGGTGTCCCCAACAGTTGGGCACAGGCTGAAGCTAGAATAGAGTTCCTGGCCAAGGATGCCATCGCTGCAAAAGTGTTAACTGAGCTGTGGCAGTGTCAGGATCTCCGTTTCAGGGAACGGCGACCTCTGGGCAGGTCAGTTCTCTCCCTGGCAATGTCTGGTTCTGTGCTCCCTAGGGGTAAAGTGCAACTCTGGCCTGGGACCCTTACCTCTTTTCCTCCTGGGAAGCCTTTCCCCTGGTCTTCTGGGGAGGTCTTGAGGCTTGGGGTAATACAGACACCTTTTGCTAAGTCAGCACCATTTTTTGCATCTAGTTAGGAATGACCGGGTTCACCGGCCATCTCCTGGGCTCCGTTTTTCTGCCTCAGCTCAGTTGAGAGCAGTGTCTGGATTGAGGGCAGCTGGTGGACCAAGTACGGTTCCATCGCTACCAGAGACAGTAACAGAAAGAGTTCATCCCCAGCCCTTACTTACTTCCCTCCCTTTTCTGCGGAAGCTTCAGTTTCCCAGGCTGAGCCCCCAGGCAGAAATTCTATTCCCCTCCCTTCTTGTGCTGGATGCTGGCACTGCCAAGTTCTGCCGGGGCCGACTGCCAGGCTGGCAAGGTAGTCCATGCCCCTTGATCAGAACCAGCTGGGCTCACAGAAGTTGGGCAGCCCCTTTGCAGGTTCAGTTCCTTCCAAACAATGTCTTTTACTTACAGTGACCTCAGTTCTGTGCCCTCAAGGACCAGACAGCTACCTCTTTCCATCCCATCTGCCCTTCACGGGAGCCTCTCAGCTCTGGAGAAAATGGAGGGCTAGGAAATGGGGGTAGGGTAAGTGCTCTTCCTAAATGCTCAGTTTTCGAGTCTGCTGGGAGAGGCAGGTACCTGGGGGATGCCTTCAGTCGGCCACGTGCTGGAGAAGTTTCAGTATGAGAGGGAAGGGCTCGGCATCGCTACTCTAAAAGAGCACGGGGCTGGGGGAGTAGAAAGCCAGGGTGGCAGAAACTAAGAAAAGAGTTACTGCTCTTTTTCAGAAAGGAGAGACTCTTGTTGGGGGTCGGTCTTGGGAGGCGGAGCAACAGCGTTTTTGTTTGCTTGCTTTTTGTTTTTTTATCAGAGGGATTGGACAGGGAAGAATTTCCAGATGCTGAGAAGGTCTGGGGCCCCCAGGCAAGGCAGCTGGGGAAGGCTCTCAGTCCTACCTGCAGGTCGGCCCCGTAGAAGGCGGCCATGGACGCATCGGCCACCAGCAGCGTTTCCACGAAGCGAGCCTCAGACACAAACCGTCTGGTCCTACTCGTGGCCCCCAGGGGTGGTGGCAGCTCGCTAGCGCCTTCTGCCTCTTCTGCGCCCTCCTCCTCTTCGCTCTCCTCCTCCGGCTCATCGTCGTCTCCCCTCTGCCGCCTCTGACCCTCTCCCGTGTCCACCTCCCACCGGGGTCCTCGAGGGAGGGGGCGCGCCCCGGGGCCCCAGCGCTGCAGGCGGTGCGGTTGATCCAGCGAGCCGCCGGCGCCCTGTGGCTGGATGGTGAACTCCTCGCCGTCCAGCAGGAAGGAGCCGCTCAGCCCGCGGCACAGGCTGACCGCTGCCAGCGACTCGGGCTCCCCATTCACGGTGCCGGAGAAGAAGCAGCCGCGCAGCCCCCGCTCGCCCCCGGCCGCCCGGCCG